GAAAACATTGAGCCAGAACGCCTTCAGGACTCCTCGCTCTATGTGATATTCTTATATCAGTTACAACTACATTGCAAGTGTGTTTACTTTTCACGCGGCGAAGCTCTTACCACTTTTTGTTTACGTGTAGAGTTGATCTTCTCCAAGGTGTACACAGCATAGTAGGGATTGGTGAGATACAATGATTAGTATAATTCATTAATTCAACAGGTAGTAAATTATAAAACTCCCAGCTCTGTTTAGCATGGCTAAGGATCAAGTGAAAGAAGCTGTCGTTACTCAGATGACTAGAGATTTGATAGGTATCAGTATTAGCAAGAGCCTGTATTGGAACGACAATTACCTCACATTTATGGGGGTTGGGGATGAAGAAATGATGATTGCTACTCAGGATGATCCATGTAACAGCTAGATGACATGTTATTGTCATTCATATTACGGTAAAAATTCAAACCAATACAATGAGAACCAGGTAAGCTATTTTTAATTTTTCTAATAAGAAATAATTCACACCCTGAAAGACTGAAAAATAATAATCCAGTAATGTTACAGAAACTTTTACAGAGGGCATTTTCTATGGAGCTATAAACTAAGCACCTTGGTGGTGGGAACAGAAAAAGGAAGACATTAATTTAGTGTCTCATGGATATGCTGGCTATCCATAAACTTCAGCTGCTAACCCTGATTAGGAAGTCAAAAGCTTCCTATCAAGTAGAACATTCTTAACTTTGAATCCTAATTCTATTTGGATGTGTGAATATAAAATAATCACTCCAAATCTCCTAGCCTAAAAACCTGTTTCATTATTTTATATTCAACCCCCTGCTTCCATACTTTACCACATCATATGAAGCTTCTCGTTTGTTGTTGTTACTGTAATGGTTGACACCTTGACTATGGAAGACCAGACATGAGTATCTATTTTTCCAAGGTTATATGTATATTTGCATGTAGCTGGGTATGTAGGAATCTATCCAAGGTTATAGACTAGTAACCACTCTCTAGGCTTGGATTCAGTTTAGAGAGATAGTTTTGACAGCAAAGGTTTATTTTATTTATTTCAATGATCTGCCAACACCAAAAAATTTGATAATTTCTCATAAATATATGGATTTCCAGATAATCTGACAACACTGGGACTACCTTCCTTGTGCTAATATATTATATTGGACCAGAATAGTGGTTCCACTTGAGATCAGTCATATACTTTCTAAGATCCTCTCTGCCCTATTAGCTCTCATACACGGTAGCCAAATCTATGTGTTTTTTTGTTCTTTCTCTCTCTCTCTCTTTTTCTCTGATTGATTAAAAACAACACACACACACACACACACACCCACCCCTACCCCTCTCCTAAGCATTTGAGTTTGGAATTTCTGACCTCTTTTTCACTCTCTTGATAAATACTTAGATACAGGCAAATACAGAAATGTATTCATTTGAACCAAGTGGAATTTGAACTGCAAAAAGGCAATTTTAAATGTCTCAAGCCTAATAAAAATGTTTACGTTTTTCGTGCATAGATGGTTCACATATTGGAAATCAGACTTAGTCTCTACTGCAATAACTTGAAATAATATTTTTCCCATTAAAAAAAAAGTGTATTTTTTTTGGTCTGCTCAAGTGTATTTTCACCACTTTTTTGCTGAAACGTTTTCTTCCTTTTATTTTACTTCCAAGTCCTACCCTTCACAAGCCCCAATTCAAAGTTCGTATCTTCCAAAAGGCTTCTTTGATGACCCAATTCCTCTCTAAGTTTTCAGACCTCTAAATGTATAGCAGTCATAAGCTATATCTCATGCTTTATTGTTTAATTTTACATAGTCTTTCATTGTTTTCTCTGCCCAGAATTATGTTAGAAACCTGACAGAGATTCATCTTCTACAAGTACTTGGATCTCAAAGAGCATTTAACACTTGTCAATTGATTACTTGCTTATTAGGAAAAGAGCTTGAAACGTAAATTTTTCTAAAAGAAATATTCCCTTTTGGAGGGAAAGCAATTCACTGAATAGAAGCCTTTTGACTATATTAGATATAATATTATTTTATTATTCTTGCTGTATTACAGCTCTTGAATCCATGTGATTTAGACTGTCAATATCTTTAACATTAATACTTAGGTCACATACAAATTTTATGAAGAAAATCAGATTAATTTTTATAGCTCCCTCTCAGAGATAAACTCACTCATTTTTAAAGCTTTTGTATTTTGATACAAAACCCAGATACAGAAAACCACGTGCAACAAATGTGTAGCTTAATGAAGTATTATAATTTGGAGTTCAACATGTTTATTTGCTCTATTTTCTGCAAACTGTCATTTAGGTCCAGAGGCTAGTTGAGACTAAGTAGGTTTGATCCCACTGGTGAAACTCTGGAGGGTAGTAGGTTCTTTCATCAGGACGCACAGACTGTCTTGTCTCTATTTTATCTTAGCAATTATTAATACTGAGATCCCTTCATCAATGGGGGCTGTAAAGCAGCAATATTTTAATTCTATCATTTTGTTTTTATTTGTTAGCTAGAATTATGTTCTGAGTTCACAACCTCAGAAATGACCAACTGTTATTATTCTTTAAAATACCTTTTTCAAATTATGCATTCTTCATACGTCGTAACACTGTGTTTTTCTATGTGCAGATTATCCTTATCTCTGGTATGAGAGAGTCTCTTCAAATTGACTCCTGAATCTGTTTGACATGACTTTACTAGTTGCTTCCATTCTATCTAATATGTCAAGATATTTCAGGTTGAATTGGCATGTTTTCTACTTCAAGAATCAGCTAGTTCTGCAAGAAGCTGTTTCTTTGTATTAGGAATTATTTTTTTTACCAAACTATAGTCTGTGTATTAGGGATGCTTATTACTATTGAGTCCATGTTTCCAGGCTTTTTTTTTTTTTTAGCAGAAAGAGCTAGAACAGAGAAAAAATAAAATTTGAGTTCAAACTTATTTTTCCAGTTCAACTGTAGGAACACAGACTTTATTTAACCTTTTCTGTATTACATCTCTAAGTCTTTTCATCTACACCAAGAGGTTCTCAGAGACATAGGGGAAGATAGAATATCATGTTTACTCATTTGCTTTATTTCATATTACATTAGTCTCAAGATAATAATAAAAGTGTCAACATCAATAATAATTGAAACATTTATCTTTGCATATACTGCCACTAGTCTTTAATTTTGTCTTAAGATAGTACTGTATCTATAATATCAAAACATGGAGCCATTACAAAAACCTTCCTTTTAACTTAGTTTATTAAATTTTTGTTCATCAGTTAGCTATTATCAGTGTTCCTCTGGTCATTTTGTTTGCCTACAGCTAATTTTCTAGTAGTTCGGGGGATCAGGGAACAATATTCCTGAGTGTTTGCAAGTTGATAACAGTTTGACTCTACCCTTTATGTTTAAAGTTAACACTTTTTGACTATAAAACCTTGAATTACATTTTCTTATGTTGAGTATCTAAAGTTACTCTAATTTCTTCTGCCACAAAATGTTATATGAAGTCTGAAGTCTGATGATCTAATTTTTTCTAATATGTCATATATTATTTTTGTCCAGATTACTAAAAAATTATTTTAAATCAGTAATTTTTTCAGTATTCTGTTTTTATTTTCCTTTGGATTTTCTTCATCAAGGATTCTTATTATCTGTATGTTAGATCTTCAGTATTTATCAGTTTTTCCTGAACCCTCATTTAGTCTTCTTAATTTCTTTTATGTTTTCATTTCATACTTGTTGCATTTATTCATCTAGTTACTCTACTTATCTAAAATTTTTTAATTTACATATATGTATTTCTTGAGTTATGACACATCATTTCTGAGTTTTCTGATTTATGTTGCTCTTTCATATCTGGTATCATTTTCTTAATGTAGTTTAGTTAGTTTTGAAATCATAAGTTGCAGTTTTGATGAATATTTTGGGGTAATTATTTCTACTTTTTATCCATTTTTGTAATTTTCTATAGGAATGATATTTTCCTATTTTATTTTTTCTTATGGTAATTTTATAAAGAGGTTTCCCTCAATATATTTTTGTTGTTTACACTGATGTAACTTGTTTTTCTGTTTGTTTGTTTGTTTTTCCAGAAATTCAGAGAGCTCTTTTGAGTACACAGAGCTCCCTGTCCTCTTCTTTTCATTAGACATGTTTCAGCAAACTACAGGTTACAGGTAGAATCTGGCCCGGGTCCTGATCTTGTATGGATGCCTGAACTATGGGTGGCTCTTACATTTTTCAGAGTTGTAAATAAATAAACAGATAAAAATGTGACAGAAACAATGTGACATTCAAAGCTAAAATATTTACTATCTGGGCCTACAAAAGTTTGCCAAGTCTGGATACAGACTAAACACTATGGCAGCTTGCTTTCTGAGTTTTCATGGTTCTTCTTCTCCCCTAATTTTATCTGGACTTTAACCTTCATCAATATTTTTCAATCTTGCTTATATCTTACATCAGTTCCCAGGAGGTTGTCCCCAGTTTGGGTCCTGTCCTAGAGAGGAGACTTTGGAGGTCAGTTTTGAGTGTTTAAATTTGTTGTTCTGAAACTGAGCTGCTGTGCTTTCCAGCATTAGCTGATATCTATTTTAGAATTACTCTCTTTTTAGGTTTGATATTTCCCTTTGATTTTTCTTACACAGATGCTGATAACAAACAGATCATGAGACTTTTTGGTTGTGTATTCAGACCCTCTTGTATTTTAGGGTTGGAGGACACACATCATCACAGAGTTTTGCAGCAAGTAGCTGAATGCTTTCGGTTTTCTACCTAGTAGTAGTTCAGTGTGTTTTCATATGGAGATTGAGGAAGATCAAAAAACCCTATTGCTACCACCTACTGCCACTATCCTTTCAGAATTCAACTCACTCATTCTTACACAATTTACCGAGTAGACTATATTAAATTTGTTTTGAGGAAAATGTTTTCCCTCAGTGTTTTGGTACATTAAATAAATCAACATGTTTGTATTGTTTCTGTTTTTCTCCAGAGTCAAGTTCCCATTATGTAATCTCCCTAAAAGCTTTTAACAATGCAGGAGAAGGAGTTCCTCTTTATGAAAGTGCCACCACCAGGTCTATAACAGGTAAGTTAAATTGTTAATCTTCCTCTGACAAAGTAGCATGTGATTTGTGGTGAGAAAAGAAAAACTAAAATACAATACAAAGAAGAAAACAAAAATGAATGTATGCAATTATCTTCTGAGTCTGATATGTATAGATATAAAAATGCACACACATATGCATGCATGTTTTATTTCTTTGGTTGTCAAAATTAAGTAGGAGGAATTCAGTTTATAAATTAGCACTTGGACTTAAAGAATACAGATCTCTCATTCTGTTCCTCCCCAATAGCTTCATAGTTTTGGTGCCCTGATACCATTCTTCCATCTCCTGAGCAGCTTGTCTCAAATCAATGCTATCTTTGTCCCTGCACAAAGGTTGCCAAATGCCTAAATAGACACTTGCTTCTCCACACAGGGTCCTTCAAACTAAGATGACAAGGAAAAGCTAGCCTTCTGGGGTGGTTTGCACTAGGCTGAGTGATGTGGGTGTTATCTTCCTGAGCTCTGGGCCTCCAGGTCACCTCAGCAGTGCCCAGGGCCTCAGGACATTAAAGGGAGTAGCTGATTCAAGGTCTTGTCACCCTTAGGAATTTTTCTGTTAGTTGGATTATAAAGGCAGCACATAAGATTAAAAGAGTTAGGCCGGGCGCGGTGGCTCACGCCTGTAATCCCAGCACTTTGGGAGGCCGAGGCGGGTGGATCACGAGGTCAAGATATCGAGACCATCCTGGTCAACATGGTGAAACCCCATCTCTACTAAAACTACAAAAAATTAGCTTGGCATGGTGGCGCGTGCCTGTAATCCCAGCTACTCAGGAGGCTGAGGCAGGAGAATTGCCTGAACCCAGGAAGCGGAGGTTGCGGTGAGCCGAGATCGTGCCATTGCACTCCAGCCTGGGTAACAAGAGTGAAACTCCGTCTCAAAAACAAAAACAAAAACAAAAACAAAAACAAACAAAAAAAAATGAGTAAAAGAGTTTAAGAAACTGAGAAAGAAATGGGTAAGATGGTGAGATCCAAACCATTTAAAGAGGCTATTTGTTAGCATGGCTAGGCTTACCAAAATACAGTAAGCAACTCATGTTTGTAAGGCTATTCAGAGCCACTGGAGAATCGCTTGACTACTCCCCCAAATCGCTGCCACAGACTTTTGTCTGAAATCTCTAGGTAAAACCCGAGTTCCCTATCTAATTAATACATTGAACCTGCCCCCCTCATACCCTTCAGACCTCATTTAACTTGTCAGATATTGTCCCCTTAACGAGAAGAAAGGATCTGAGACAGCAAGCACCAGAGAACATGAGATGTTACTGAAGTTTGAAATTTAGACGAGTAGGAAGAAATAGTAGTAAAATAAATAGCGGAATCCTGTGGCTTCTACCATTGCCCAGATTTATGTAAACTTTGCACAGTTTGTTTGTCAAATGTACAGGCTTCATTTGTAGATTATCTTAAGAATACTGTTGTTCTATATTCATAATGGTTATGTGATGGTCTCCAGAATATACTGTCTCTGTATTGATTTCAATGGTATATTTTAAGGCAAAGTTGTTATTCTAGTCTCTTTGAATCTTTGACCATTGCTTCCAGGTCTAAGATCTGTCTAAAGTAGGATGCAAAATTTTGGGCAGCTGTCAATATATTTATCTGTGGAGACAGTATATCTCATTCATTGTATAATCAAAGGGGTTCATGACTCCCCTTAAAGGGCAAATAATTAACCCAGAGAATATTTACTATCAAACGTGTTATCTCCAAATATAGAGAGATGAGAAAAATTGAGGTTTAGGATTTTAACCGAGACATTACCATGATGGGTGTCTGGGATTTTCATGAAGAGAATAAAGACCTTATTCTCTGGCTCTGCCAGCAACACGATTCTTTGAGAGCAAACAAACAGGCCACTTTGGCTGCACCATTGTGTCCCATAATTTTCCTTTAGTGATCATCTCTGTCCTCCTTATGTTATAAGATCCCAGGAGTTGTTCATTGCCATGGTGACTTGGCACTTGTGATCACGCCATGCCAAATGATACTACGGTCAGTCTTTTCAAGCTCTTATTCTCTTACCAAATCTAATGCCCACGAGGAATGACCAGTGAGGTGGCAAATAAAAATCACTTTTCAATCAGAAACTGATAAAGGTGAAAGAATTCAAAGATACCGAAAGTAAGTTGTTCAGAAAGAACCATTCTTCTTAGTACACGTTGCATTAATTCTAGCATATGGCATTCCCAAAGTGGTGTCTAACACACCAGTAACCAGGCAATTTTTGTTTTCTGATGACTCAGATCCTAATGGGACTGAGAATAGAAATAATACTAAAAGTTGGAATTTGTGTGAGGAATTTTATTATTGGAGAAAAGCCAATTAAAGGTTTGAGAAAAGTGCTTGAATCTAGCCCTTTTCAAAGGAAAGAAAACACTTTTTCTGAAAGTGGCTGAATTATTTTATTGTGCTTCCACATGTCATGGAAAACAAAGGACAAATAAATGAAATCAAAGGTTAAGGAAACCATTAACAAACATGTCAGTGCCATGTAGGAGACATCCTCTGTCTCTAAGCTTCTGCAAAGGAGTCCCATGAGCAGTCTTGAACAAGGGCCTATATAAAGTAACTACAAAATATATCACAGGCAATAAAACATCAAACTAGAATAAGCATCAGGTTATGGAGTTTTCTACACACATATGCTCACAGATATTGGTGAGCTCTGGAGCCTCTTCCCATACTGGGAATATCACTATTAGGGCTGCCGAAAGTCTCACCTGGCCAAATGCATTAAGAGTCTAGTTTTGCTGTAAAGCCCTTTATTTCTTATTGTAAGGACAAGCTATCTTAAGCCTGGGGAAGAAAAGAGGACAAAAATCAGAAGACGAACAAAACACACTGTTGAATTGGCTTATTTTCAGCTGTTTTTTCAATGTTTAAATGAAGTACAATCCCATGTCAAACGGCATTAAAGTTTATTTTTATTTATTTACATATATATATTATATCATATATATATTTACACATATATTTACATTATATATATTTACATTTACATTATATAATATATATATTTACATATATTACATATATATATATATATAAACATATATTACATATATATATATACATATATATATATTATTGGAGATAGGGTCTCATTCTGTTGCCAAAGCTGGAATGCAGTGGTGCAGTCATGGCTCACTGCAGACTTGACCTCACGGACTCAAGCAATCCTCCCATCTAAGCCTCCTGGGTAGCTGGGACTACAGGTGTGCACCAACATAGCTGGCAATTACTATTAATTTTTTTTAGAGATGGGGTCTTGTTATGTTGCCCAGGCTGGTAGTGAACTCCTGGTCTCAAGTGATTCTTCTGCCTCAGCCTTCCAAAGTGTTGAGTTTATAGGCATGAGTCACCACACCAAGCTAAAAGTCGTTTTGAACGTTAGTATAATGACTGAACATTTATGGGCACTTAAGGAAACACCTATTAGGAATCAAATGAATTTCTTTGCAAAAGCTTTGAGGCTATCTTTTGTCTTTTACTAAACTATTTTTTTCAATTTTTTTGAATGAAACCACTCAGTCAGCAGCATATAAAGCACCCAGGAGTAGGAAGAGAAAAAAAAAAAGTTGTGTAACAACAAAAGAATGTGTTAAATTCAATTATTCAAATATTAATAGTTTCTGACCTGAGAGAAAAAGACAATTAATATATGCAATATGCATTAATAGCTGTGCATGCTGTGCACGAGAATGCTCTGCTTTGCTGGAAATGCTCTATATCTGCATCAGACACTAGGCTTTTGTAGCAATTTAACACTTGAATTTGCCTAGTGCTATACAAGAAGTGAATTTTTCATTATTTAATTTTAATTTATTTAAACTTAAATAGTTCGTATAACTACTGGCCTTTGCATTAGCATAGCTCTGGAGGAAGTGTCAAGTAGAATGACAAGCCACATCTGAAAAAAAGTTTAATCCATAAAATGGGGAAAAAACACTTGGCCAAGGATAGAAATTTCTGGACTGTGTAAGTCCATCAATAAATACAACAAACACCCTTGTTTGAAATTTGAGAGAAGCATTTTGGAGCTTTCCAAGAAACTCAATAACAATAGTCATGAATAATATACTCCTTTAAAATCAGAAATAGTAGGATTGACTATTAGCATTTCTTGAAGTAGAATCACCCTATTTCAAAACCTTATGTATAGCACCTGTGAAAAACCATGCAGTTAATATGTGTTTACCAATGAAACTGGATTAAGAAAACAAAGAGGGTAAGCCACTAAAATGGATAGATTAAAAAAAGGAGTATGTAAATTAGAAAACTTTACCCAAGTGTATCCCATTCTTCTTGTAAAGCCAGCTAAAAATAGAAACAAGTAAAGCAAGGTAGCACCGACTTTAATTTAGCAAAAATGTCTTCCACTGCTATGCAAACCTGATGAATGATTGTGATCCTTGTGGAGACTTCAATGTCTTCTCTTCCCCCTTCATCATTTTATAAATCCATTTGAGTTTAAAGGAGCCCTTAAAAAAGAGACATCGAAGAAGATAAAAAGCCTGGGCTCTGTTATTACATTTTAAACACAGCTCTCTTTCTCTCTCTCACTCTCCCACTTTCTCTCTCTCGCTCTCACTTTCTCTTCTTTTTTTCTGTTTTTGTTTTCAGTTTTATATTTTGCTCCAAAGACCACAGACTAGTAAACTACTAAATAATTCATTGGAAAACAGGGTGATGAATGGGGGATAGGCATTTGAAATGCAGTAGACAAAGTGAAGTAATCATCAAAACCAGCCAGCAGTCACTCCACTTTAGGCTGTTGAAAAAAATACACCCAGTATTATGCTGCTGTAGACACCAAGTATTTCAGTAGTTCTCATCTCCCCAAATGTCTTCATATGCACAGCCTGACAGTTGTATTATAATATCTTATTATTTTTGTTAGACTATGCATTAAATAATATAAATATATTTTTAAGTGTAAATGTCTTAAGTAATCAATGCTCAAGGTTAGACTATTGCTATGACTAAAAAACAATCTTCTCTGATTCTGATGATATCCCAGCATAAACATGATTACAAGGTGTTTTGCAGAATTTTGTAAAAACACACACAGCATTATACAGATTCCCATTATGTTATGGATCAAAGCATGTATATACCTCTTTGCAAATCTTGTAAGTCCGTAGGTAGTTAATCCTGTCTTCTCATTCAATAATATGAAATTTTAGTAATGTGGAGTTTGGAAACTCCTACTGAAACTAAAAACTTAGCTAATTACTCTATGAGAATGTGAGTAAAATCACACTTCTACATTTTCAAGGATTCCAATCTAGGAAAGCCTGACAAACCACGTGCTGTCTGAAACTTAATTATCAAATATATAATTAATCCATGGGATCATGTGTACTTGGTCACTCTGGCTTTATGCAATCACAGCCACACACAGGTTGCTGTGGATGTCAGGGTACTTTGTTCTTTATTATTTGTTTCTTGCCTAGAAAATGTGTTTGCAGATATAAGCTAAACAACAGTGAAAACCTTAGAGAAACCCTATTAAGTTAGAGACGGAGGAGAAAATAAACAAAAACATAGGTATTAGACAAGCAATTTTTTGCAGGAAGAAATAAACCAGAACCCCCTTTTTTATCTTATTATTTTAAATTATATGGTAATAAAACTGATAGATTCTATAACTAGATCTTTTAAGAAGCAATGTGCAATGTTAAAAAAATGGACTTTAAAATATATAAGCAGAAGTGACAGCTAAATTGATACAACCATTATAAGGGAATTAGTAAATTACAGAAAATATTCAATTACTTTTTTGCAATATAGCAATACTGTTTCTAAAGTGTTTTCCGATTGAATTAATTACATTTTTTTCTGTTCTTCTCATGTTCCCTTTCATCATTATTGCCATGCATTTAACTCATTGTGATGTGTTACCACTGATATTTATTTTTTAACGCTTTTATTTACATATTTATTTGTTTGTTTCATTTGGTGGGTTTTTAAACCCAGATCCCACTGACCCAGTTGATTATTATCCTTTGCTTGATGATTTCCCCACCTCGGTCCCAGATCTCTCCACCCCCATGCTCCCACCAGTAGGTGTACAGGCTGTGGCTCTTACCCATGATGCCGTGAGGGTCAGCTGGGCAGACAACTCTGTCCCTAAGAACCAAAAGACATCTGAGGTGCGACTTTACACCGTCCGGTGGAGAACCAGCTTTTCTGCGAGTGCAAAATACAAGGTGAAGTTCTAATTGGTAGCATGAAATTTAAAATGAACTGACATTTGATTAATGCATTGTTTTAAATGCCTCCTGGACCGTCATGGGTCATTTTGCTGCTGTGTGTCTATGTGGAAAAACAAAGCATTTTAATAACTCAGTATCTAAAATTAATATGAGAATAATTATATTTTAGGAAACAATTCTAAGGCAAGGTAGGAAAACATCAAGCATTGTAAAATGTTATTCGATTTTCACCAGATGCTGAGTTTGTGTAAATGATTTGACTCTGTACAAGAGAATGTCATTGTCCCTGGAAAATAGCAGAGATCTATGTTAATTTTCTGGATAGATTTTGTTATCTATGTTTTCATATGGAATCTAGATAGATTCCGAAGCGACCCTATTAGTGTCACAGAGACCCATCTTTCAGTGAATATAACTGGGAATAGATAACTTGAAGATATTTTTTATAACAACCTTAGCACTCTAAGCCATTAACATCTACTTCATTTAGCCTTGAAAACACCCTCGTGCGGTAAAGAAAACTCACAATCCATATTTCCCTTTAGCTAATATGAATTACACCAGCTCTCTGTTCTTGTCCTTATCACAGAGTCATCTCACAACCTCTTTAAGAACTCCTTAGGGATACGTATTTAAGACAGCCATTACCAGTTTCAAATCTCTACCAGCCAGCCTCAGGGATTGTAACAACTAGTTATATACTGAAATAATTCTGTTACCTCTAAAAACTGCTACAATAGTGTATGTAGACAATACACAAATGTAGACTAAAATGAGATCAACAAGTAGTTGTCAAGCACCTACTATGTACCTAGAGAGGTACTACATCATAGAGACAGTTAATTTTGAAAGAAAACATGATGTAGTCATTGTTACTTATTAGGTGTAATTTTATGATGAATATACACTCAGATCTAGGGATAAATTTAGAAGAATAAGTTCTTCAAGAGTTGTAATGTATAAAAACACATTTAAAACTTAAACATTCATAAGATACCGATTGGGAATGAAGAAGTCAGTTTTGGAAATAAGAGCGTACATGCCGCCCCACGACTAAGAAATCAAACAGCTCAAACCTGGCACTCTGTCTTCTTCCTACTCCTTTTGTATTCTCTTAACCACTTGATTGGGGCAGCTCTTGAGGAGATTTTAGATCTCCTGATACTTCAGCCAATGTTCTTTTTACTGAACTACCATCCTCCTGAATTCAGCCTCTAGCTAGTGGTGATTTTGTGGGGATGAAACTATCTTGAGGATGTTTCTAATGCCCATCCTGGAGCTACAGCAAAATCCCACCACCAGTTCTGTAAGTCTGCCTCTTTCTGTTTATAGCCATGCTGTATCTGCCTCTGGTGTCTTTCAACGTTTAAATGGCACACCATTCACATTTCATCATAAATCACGTTTTAGTTGAAATCATCTAAAGGCAGTTTTCTTTGGTACCACTGCCCTGTTAGGTGAGGTGTTTGGAAAAACTCTCCAGGCAAGCCTAAATAGTATCATTGATATAAGGTATGTTGTAATTACCCTATCCATCTCCTTACAGTAGTAGATTTAAGATTCAACAGAACTATAAATAAAGATAACATTATAAGAAAAGACAACCAACGAAACATATGAGACCATTAAAAAAAAATCTCTTTTTTATAGATTACCCAATTCTCTGTTTATTTTTAAAAGACTACTTTCTCCACTTTAAAAATTTTATGTTGTAATTGCTGTACTTTGTAGATACATTCATTTCACAGAATGGCCATAGCTACTTTGCCAGAATGTGAAATGTTCTAAGGAACAATGGTTGTTTTCTCCAGAATGGTTTGAGTTCCAAAATTTCCTTAAGCAAATTATTTCAGTTGAATAGTTAGTACAGCAGACATGGAATTATTGAATCTCACAAAGAGTGCTTGTGAGGTGAGAACCAACCCAAAAAGATTTTAACTGTTCCTCTTCCCTTCATCTTCCCTGACATAGGCTTTCAATTACTAAAATGCATTCAATTACTGAATTACCAAAAAGATTTTATCTGCTCCTCTTCATTTTCCCTGACATAAGGCTTTCAGTTACTAATGTATATATTATCTCTCCCACTTTCTATGTATATCTACACCCTAATATGAGGAGGGTTAGAGGAAACTAGAAAGATATACAAGAAATTTAAATTTTAGAAATAATGGTAATAGATTCTTTGAGTTTTCGCTTTGCACTTTTCAAGCTAATGTTGTGTCTTACTTTATCTCATTTCCACTGCAGCTTTCACAGGTAGGCAGGGCATACACAAGACAGGAAACAAACACACAAAACACACATGGAGCCGCATGACCTTCGCTCAAGGGTTGACTTTGCAACATCCTGTCATGCAACTTAACCTGCTCAGTCTCATTTGTCTCATCTATATGATGGGAATGTTCATACCTACTGTAAAAACAATGAGATTCTTCTTAGTTAAGTAGTGTGTACGAAGACAGAGTTAGGTGATATAACTTGAAAGAAATTTCTCATTAAACTAGAGCTGTATTGCAGGTGACCCAATGGCATCATCCAGGGATCTCCCCACAGGAGTGCCCTTCTTGTTACATTTAGTCCCAAATCAAGCTATAATACAGATGCTCATGTTTTGATTGTCTAAAACTCTGTATTACTTTTCCTGATCATATGGAGATATTTTCTATAATTTTTTTATATTAAAGTGTTTAATTATATAATGTTTTGCACAAACTTCTATTCAAAATATATTCATCGAATATTGACTAGTGCTCCCTAGATATAACACAGATGTTACAGAGGATATGAAGTTGGGCAGGACTCAGTCTCAGCTCTCAAACTGTATACAACTCAATGGAGCATGTAACACATGCCTTAAATTATGTACAACAAGAGGAAATGCATGAAATAATGTAGCTAATATTTATTTAATACTTTCTCTGGGCCAAAATCAGTGCTATGATTGTCTCCATTTTACATGCAAAAAAAAACAAAGCTCAGGCCAAACACAGTGGCTCACACTTGTAATCCCAGCACTTTGGGAGGCCGAGGCGGGTGGATCGCCTGAGGTCAGGAGTTCGAGACCAGCCTGGCCAACATAGTGAAACCCCATCTCTACTGAAAATAAAAACATTAGTTGGGCATGGTGGTGGGTGTGCCTGTAATTTCAGCTACTTGGGAGGCTGGGCATGAGAATTGCTTGAACCTAAGAGGCGGAGGTTATAGTGAGCCGACACCACACCATTACACTCCAGCCTGAGTGATAAGAGCAAACCTTCATCTCAAAATAAAAAAAAGAAAAGTATGGCTTGGAGAGGTACTATCTGGTTATTTTATGCTCGCAACGATAACTGGCCATGGTTTTTCACAGTATTTCTATGCTTTTTAAGATAAGCAGCAGCTTTCTATAAGGCCTGGAGAAAACTCAGTAAATTCACAGAATGCAAAGGTGTCAATCTAGAACACAAAGATGATCTAACTTGTTGGCCTCTCCAATGCCAGTGATATCTGTGCCCAGAAACTGGTTTTATTGAGATATGATCCTTTTCTCTTACCTAAAATATTTCTTCTTGCCTTATTTCTACCATTTGTTTCCATTTCTAAGGCTTAAAGTTGTTCATGATGAAGGAAGGCAAAAGTGGAAGTAACATATCCACATTTCAGATACTAACTGACCACTTTGTGTTTTATTTGATGTAATTTCATTTTCCTGATTATATACAAATATATTTACATTTATTTAGAGCACATGTTTTTACAGTTTTTTTTAAAACCTTTTTTTTTTTATTTTTGGAGACAGAGTCTCACTCTGTTGCCCAGGCTGGAGTGCAGTGGCCTGATTTTGGCTTACTGCAACCTCTGACTCTCAGGTTTAAGCGATTCTTCTGTCTCAGCCTCTCAAGTAGCTGGAATTACAAGGGCATGACACCACGTCCAGCTAATTTTTGTATTTTTAGTGGAGACGGGATTTCACTATATTGGTCAGGTTTGTCTTGAACTCCTAACCTCAGGTGATCCACCTGCCTCAGTCTCCTGAAGTGCTTACTGAGCCACTGTGCCCAGCCTACAATTATTTTTAAGCAGGGCTTCTGATAAATATTTGAAGTCTTTACTTTAAAACGCTGAATAGACACATCATTGAAATGCTATTAGGATAGTTACATATTTATTTGGTATTATAATGAAATATAAGATTTTCATACCTATAACTTAAGAAGGATTAATTGTAGAATAATAATTAAAAAAAAAGACATCCCATCCTCCAGCAGTAAGGGTGAGATAGATATGATATGAGTGGGGAAAAATAGCTTTGCTTAATTATTTTAGACATAAGTAGATAATAAATGTCATAAGCTTAAAAACAAACGTATTTAACTTTGAAGAAAGACACCTAACACCAGGCACAGGTTGATATTTATAAGAGAAATTGTCTCAAATATTTCTGCTTATATGGAAAACATACTTTAATGTATTAAACTTTGGAACATATTTTGTCTTTATTACCATTTTGATTTCTTGAGTAAGCAGTAAAGACCTATAATTTACTTGCTACTAAAATATTTCTAACTTGTCATTTAAAAGACATGAATGGATTTAGAAGACTTAAATAATACCAACACCACTTTGAACACCAACGTAATCCTTTAGTATTTATCCAATTTGCTGTTCCTTCCTTGATCAATTGCTCTAGTTACCATCCTTAAATGTTTGTTTAATGTGAACTCTGCAGAAAGAGCAAAAACCACATGACACAGCATTGCTTTTGTCTCATTTTCTCTGTAAGATGTAAATAGCTACTGGAAGCCCTAAAAGTTTCAACCTGAAAGGCTTTTTGAAAAATATGATAAGCCTTAGAACTCTAATAAATTAACTTTATTATGAGTGGAAAATAATAACAATGGTCTATTTAACATATACAACGTTAAAACTTACGTTTAAAAAAACCCCAGATTTTGATTATAAATGAAATTAAGTTCAATGCAGAAAATTTCAAAAATTGTGTTGACAGAAGGGAGTGGAATGTGTCCTGTTGCCCTGGTTCTTTAATAAAAGGTAAATATTTAACTTTGAAAAAGATATCTAAATACAAAGCACAAATTGATATTAATAAGAGGCATAGTCTCATACGCCTGATCATACGGAAAATATGCTTTAACATGTTGGAACTTACAACATATCTTACCTAAGAAAATTTCCTATCTAGTAACCCCTTTGGACAACCATAATACCTAATTTTATAGGTTATAGTTTATATGTATAACCAGCCTGAGTGAACTGGTTAATAGATGGGAGGTTGACTCAATGCTAATCTGTACTCTTCTGCTGTTTGGGAGTAGATTACTTTTGTTCTGGCTTATTTAACAGTATTTTTACATGCCTTGATTAACCAAGTTGATAGAGTTTATTTTTTATCTCTTTGCTGTTTCCCACTTGTATAGTCAGAAGACACAACATCTCTAAGTTACACAGCAACAGGCCTCAAACCAAACACAATGTATGAATTCTCAGTCATGGTAACAAAAAACAGAAGGTCCAGTACTTGGAGCATGACAGCGCATGCCACCACGTATGAAGCAGGTATGTGAGGAAATGTCTACTTTTGACACTTGATCATGGCATTTCCCAGGTTCTGTGGAAATTAGAACATGTGCTCCCTATGGTGTCTCAATTATACCTTATCCTATATGAAATATTCCATCCTCTATAGTTTATAGCATTTTTATATCTAATAGTATTTTCTTCACTCTAGGACAGAAATGAATCTCCCATGGCTTAAGTAATCTGCTTTCATGACTAGTACATGGCTTCCTTAGGGCATTTACTCAGGAAATCTGGCTATAAATCTTTTTTTCACTACATTTAAGTAAAGAACAGATATCCATCCATTGAACTCCATCCAAAACAGTTGGGTCTTTAAACAACAGTCATGGTAGGTATTTCCCATTTTGAAAAAAAAAAAAAAATAGATACAAAACAAACATTGCATTACAACTCAAGTCTCATGGATATTTACTGTAAATAACCTTGGCTGGATATGGAAAGGAGTTTCCAGGTAGTCTTGTTCCCTCTTTGGAAATGGGGTAATATAATAGAAGACCTTTATGCAATTTTAAATAGTTCAAAGCTAGGGTAATGCAATTCACTGTAATTTTCCCTGGCCACATTTACTATGGATCATAAATGTAGAGTTTATAACCTTAACAAGGATGCAGTGTACTTGACATTTATAGTTCACAGAAATTCAACTTCTGAGGAATCCAGGGCTTAACACTTTTTTTAATTGGTTTCATGATATATCATTTTTGTGGGTAAACTATACCACCAATTTTCAAATTAAAGAAAATATGCCAGTAAAGCTCTTTCCTGGGTAAGTTGAATTTGTCTTTCCATTAGAATTTGTCCCATGGCATTGCAGTTCTAATTTTTATTTTCAACTATTATCTTAACTATTAGAGTTCTAGTGAGAAATTTTTTACATATTTGTGGATATTCCTTTCAACGAGAAGCTTTTTAGTTGACCTAACTTAATTTTAACATCCTATTTTTCTATTTTACCTGTTATTATCTCTTCTTCTCAGAATTCCACCCTAAATGCAGAATGTTCACAGCTTCTTAGGGTGAATAAGACCAGCTGGATGCGATACATACTACTAGACACAATAAGCAGTCAGCTCCTCCTTTTTACTTGAAAGGGGATGAATGTAGATAAATGTGAAATAGGAAGAAATCTGGCCTTCCCTGTGTGAAAGAGAAGTAGTAGTACTTTCATCTTAATGCAAGCAAATTCATTCATTTTCCCTCTAATAAACGTAAAATGCACACCAGTATCTGACTTGATACATGCACCCTATTGATTTCTCATCTGCCTAGCCTTGTAGGGACACCAGTGGTGAGACCCATTGCTAACAAAAAAGATGCTAACTTTTAACAATGTGGTTAGTAGAAAAGATGATTGTCAAATCAGTTTATAATCTGGACAAAGGTATCAATAGTCCATGGATAGGATCCCTGGGTGATGATGAGAAGCAAGAAGGAATTCACAAGTGTTTGCAGATTTTATAACTGTGAGAAGGAAATTCAGTGAATAAAATAACTCTAAAGTGTGCTTCTAATTCTGCAGTACAATAAAGACCGCATGGGGCTACACCATTATGTGCTGAAATGGCTTATAATAAAGATAGGGGTGGCTGGAAAATTTTAGAAATCAAACATTTCATTCTGTCCAGATGATGAATGCCTCATTTGAATCTGGTTAACTGAAGTAAAAGTAAAATGACAGGAAGGGCACCTTAAATAATTAAGCCTTAGAAAGGGACAGACATCAGCCTTATTATTCCTAGGCTGTAGAAATAAGGAACTATTGGTCTATACCTTCAAGGTGCTGCCATAATAATAATTTGACTCTACCTTTTTTATGTCTTTGTATGTAGATTCAGTTTCACAGAAAAGAGAATATTATTGGGATCTCTTGAGACAGGTGATCACACAGCTAAGGAGAAGATGGGATAAGATCATAAAACTCCCAACTGATATTGTTACCAAGCTTTCATGATACAGAGGAAAGCTTGTTTTGCAAAGAGAATAAACAAGTCCTTTTTTAAAAGGAAGAGGTGGGGATGGGATGCTGGATAGTCAAGTAACAAATGCCCAGAACAATTCCCATGGCTGAAATCTTCCGAAACTTGAATGTTACCTTTCATTCATGCATTTAATAAAGAAATACAAGTATGGGAAAGACTGAGAGCCAAAGAAATCAGAGGGCAGTGCTTGTCTAGTGGACCAAGATATTAGTTAAAGGTTTTTGATAATGTTCATTTATAATCGTTATGCCTTGAGATAAGAACTTGGTAAGGAGAATATAGTCTGTGTCTTTGAGAGAATTGTGATTCAATAAAGAAGAAAAATACATATATTTTTTATAAAAAGTCCTGAAGTAAAATCAGAAATATAATCACAAAATCGTGAACAAGTTGAAATCAGAGCAAACAAAGTATAGATTCTGTCTGGAAAAATAATAGGAAGTTTCACAGCATAAGTGAGATTTGAGCTGTAACTTAGTTGAACCATTACATACCTGTTCCAGCTACTTCCGAAGGATGGAGAACTCATATTCAAACATACTCAAGCAGCCATCCGAAAGATGATGGGTTCAAGAGACAATTATGATTGGCTCAAAGTGACTTGAGCACAGTGTTGATGGGACAACAAGGGGAATGAAGCACATAAAAGAAAGTAGAATATACATCCTGGAGGTCCTGGTGTTTATTTTCATTTATTTATATTTACTCCAAGGAGAATGGGTAGTCAATGAACAATTTCTAAAATTGTTCTAAAAATGTTCTAAAAATCATTCCAGGCAGAACTCATGATTTGGAGAAGAGCAAGCCAGAGGAATTCTCCTTAACTTAGTAGGGATTATTGAAGTTGTGAGGGCCATATTATTTTCCAAGTATTAAGGAGCAGTATGCAGTTCTTATGATAATCCTAGACATTTAGGTCATTAATTCCAATACCAAATTCTTTTTCACCAATATTAAAATGACTTGAGAAAAAATAAAAGCTTACACAGCTCCTGAATTAGGTTGATTATTAGATTTTGTAAACAACCAACTTTTCAATGTATTATATGGATAGATAAAATTGAAAAGTCACTTTATCCTTTTTGAATATGTAATGGATTCAGCATTCTAATCATTTGACTATTTTTTAAACAAACATCAATTTGAATTTCACATAGTTAAGAAAAAACAGGCTATTTTCACTAGTAAAAATGACAAATATTTTAATTACTTCCATATCTGGAAAATTCCTTATTATGTTTGATAAATACTAATCTAAGTTAGTTTGTGACTGTATCTCTTACCTTCCTATCCATAGCTGAGAAAATATCCTAAATGAACTCTCTGTGAGAATAATCTTTGTTTGATACAGTCTTGTCTTTTTAGTGTTTTACCATAATTAATCTGCATTTCCTACAAGAATGTCCTGATCTGGTTTCATTAAACCATATGTATTATATTATATTATATCACATATTATATCACATATTTTATACTGTATTAATATATATGCAGTCTCTTTACTCAGGGATCAACTACATTGGGCCTATTTTTCTTCTCCTTCTTTCCCTCCTTCACTTCTAATTCTCTTTCTCCATCCCTCCTCCTCCTTTTTTGAAAACGTAAATATAGTAAGTACATTGTCAAGAATTAAATTTAAGTGCAAGCTTGGTTAACCTGGAATTCCTGTGACTTTCAGGATTAGGGTGTTGGAAAGAAAATAGTATGATAGATGGGAATGACTGTTGTCTCCTTTATTTGGCTCATATTTGGAATAAAGAAATACTGGAAATAAAGTGTTAATAATGTCCAGATTCTGCAATATATGACCAACAGTAGCATCAAGGAGCATAGTTAGAGTGAAGATGAGTTCAGGGCTAGAGACGGATTTCTAACTATCTTATACACATAATTTTTATGTGGAGACCATTGAATTCCTCCAGCAGCCAAACATAGATGTTCTGAACCTGCCTTTGTTAGACTGAGGGTAATGAAGATGCTATGGATAATAGGCTTGGGCACTTGTGAGCTACACAGAAGGAGAACTGTCTCCCAAAACTTAGAGAGTGAGAAAGCAGATTGGAAGAAGCCAGGAAGATGCTGGACTAGCTTAGCCAGTTTGCTGCCACCTTTAAATATTTAGAATTGTGTTGAGTACATGTGGGAAAAATGGCCTTATGAGCAGGGCTTCGTGCCGTCTTACTTCATGTTGAATTGATACTAAGACATTCATAGACTTTTTTCTATGTCTTCCATTTTAATTTCTCATTCGTGCCTTCCTGTTGGTTTAGAAGATGCCTAATATGTCACCTAGCTACCCCAAAACCTAAAATGCAATAAAATAAATAAATGAAAAAAAAAAGATATTTTGACGTCAGTTTTAACTCATTTTAAAATGCTTTTTGGCTTTTAAGGAATTATAGAATTAGATGACATTTTTATTTATAATTGCCTACAGTTGTAACAGAGTTCACTGGAAGACACATAATCATCCAGCCTGGCAAACTAGTAAGACACATCTCTACAAAAATTAAAATAAAAAATTAGCCAAGAGGGGTGGTTTATGACAGGAGACCCAGCTACTCGGGAGGCTGAGGTGGGAGGATCACTTGAGCCCAGGAGATTGAGTCTGAAGTAAGCTATGATTGCACCGCTGTACTCTAGCCTGGGTAATGGAGCAAGACCCTGTCTCAAAAAAAAAAACAGAAAAAAAAGAAGAAAATAAAAAAGATATGTAATCACCAGTCTCACTAAGTATACATTTCTTCGTTCTTATAATGATTACTATATTTTTAATGTGAGCCCTTTTGAAATACCAGTTGTACTTTTCTCCTTCATAGTCACACATACTCTCTTCTGCTCTCTATAGTCACACCTTGGGAATCATTTTATTTCCATAAAATTATTAATTTTTGTATCCTTGTTTGCTTATTTAATTCAAATCCTTGAAATAAACTGTAAATGGCAAAATAAACATGATACACTTCTCGATAGATTCTGAATGTCAATATCATGATGAAAAGTCCCACCAATGTTTATTTTCTTTCACATCCAATGACAAGGTCTTGTCTCTGTCTCACTTTGCAGCCCCGACCTCTGCTCCCAAGGATTTGACGGTCATTACCAGGGAAGGGAAGCCTCGTGCCGTCATTGTGAGTTGGCAGCCTCCCTTGGAAGCCAATGGGAAAATTACTGGTAAGCCTCTCCACATTCTCTCCCAGCATAGCTCTGCCTTGACCTGTAATTGCTTACCTCCTACATGAGCTACTGTTGCCTTTTGTGTGGCATTTTTCTGTCTCTGCATCTCAGCTGACTCCATGACCCTTTCTGATTGTCTCTTTTTTCCCCTTTTGACTGTGGAATTCTTCTAATGGTGCACACACACACGCACACACACTCTTCATTTGATTTGCTTCATGACAGCTATGTATTTCAATTAGAGGATACCTTTTTGTTTTTCATTCTCTGAAGCACTAAGACAACCTCCTAATAGAGTGACCCTGAGTATAAATGTCTATAAAGAAGCTGGTTGTTTGTCAATTATGAAACACAAAAGATGCTTAATGACTGTAGTTTTTTTTAATTTTTGTATGGCACATAACAAGGTTTGGGGATTTTTAGTTTCTCACTTAGCTTTTAGCTTCTTACTGAAATCATAAAGTTCACAAAACACTTAATATTGACTGACAGAAATTGAACATAATGAATATTTCACAGTGACAGATTTTATTTTGCCAAATATTGCTGATAACATCAATGCCTAATTAAAGCATCCATTAGAAGCCTGTAATGTTAATTTAGTATGAAAAATATAATGGAGTTCTATCAGAGATTTTGCATTTAAATGATCACTTTAGGCTTTTAATAGATGTCTCCATAGCATATAATTATTATGAAAAATATTGTATAACTCAAAATGTGAACATTATAGTCTAATTAACTGGAACCATCAGGTTAGGAACACATAAGAGTCACTCCTTTTTCCTTCTTTTTTTGCATACAAGAGCTAGATAGCACTACTATAAATTAACAAAGTAATTCAGCCATCCTGTGATACAGAGAGATAAGCATGGAAATTGCACTTTCAGATGGCATACTTACTTTATGTAATTTACTTTCTGAATTTTGCAAAATGAAAAGATAATGTGAAAATTCCAAATGTGATTGAAATTTAAGTTGAAGATTTGTTTTCTCTAGGAAATTGCTCTTAGTGCAATAGCAAACAGAATTTTTATTTGAGCTGACAAATATGGAAAAAGAAGAGAGGCATAAAATTTCCCCAAGACCTTATATGTTCACTTGTCAGTGCGCCAGGCCTTTTAAAACTGAGGCTGGCTTCTTCCAGTTTTCTTTTTTCCCCTCATTGTTGTCATCTCTTTTCATTGGTTCTATGTCAGTATTTCTGTAGCTTTTGTTTTTTTATATTTTGTTTTGTTATAAACAGTTATTCATAAGCTTATGGGAAATCAACAGATAATAAGTTTGAGGAGAACAAAAAACAGAACCAAAGCTGTCAAAATAAAAACAAGTTTTAACAGAAAAATATATGGTTTTGGCGAAGAAAAAAAGTAAGTCGTATTCTCCACTCATTTGAATTCTCCACTCTTATTTAAGTAAATCTTGTCAGCCAATGTGAACAATAGAATAAGTTTTTAACTCTGAAGGAAAGCTTAATTTTGCTTCTTCAGGAAAGAAGAAATAGAAATCTAGCCCATATTAAGAAATGCAAATTAATCTAAGTAATAAAATTGTATATGCCAAAATCACAGTGCATATATAAGAAAGCTTGTCCACATACTTTACTTAGAATTATACATTCAATGGATTTTACAGTTAAAAATCCATTCTCTCACAATGGAAAAATAAAAGCATGGGAGCAATACTTTTTGCCTTTAAAAGCCTAGCTCATTTATGTAAACAAAATTGTATTATCAAGTTAAGATATTTTGACTCAATTTAACAAAGAGCAAACACTAAGAATCCTTAAGAGAATTTCTGTTTTATCTGTATTTTGATTCCTTGATTCAAATTACTTCCAAAAATAAAATGATAAAATATTCAAAATACTATACCACTAAGCAGAGGGCACAAATTTGCTATCCTCAGCTTCCCATAGAAGTGCAAAAATTAAAATCATAATAATAAGTAAAAAAAAATAGTGAGCTCTTTCTCAATGTGGCCAGGTAGATGTGTGCCAAGGTAGGATGTGCTCTCATGTAACCTCTGTATTTTTTTGTTTTCCTAAATCTTTCATGTGTATGGCAGGCAGTAGAGCAGGGCTGTTCAGAACCCAGGCTTCAAAGGGAGACACATGAGGAAGTCTTTTAACATCCTTGAATCCCACTTCCTTACTTTCTTACCTATAAAATAATGATAGTAATAGAACCACACCAGAAGAATTGTTATAATACAGTGCTGAGAAAAGTTCTTGATATGCAGTGAGCACTGAAACAAATTGGCTATTATTATTCTAATTTGAAATCCATTCTAGGATGAGGCTTTACTAATGGGCTTTACACAGAATCCAGATCATCAATTTTTAAATATAAGTACTCAAAAAGATTAAACAAAAAATGAAGAAATTCAGATAATTCCAGTGCCTAAATTCTCTGATCTTAAACTGGTAACTTAGGAATTTGGACTGACATTTTCAGAAGAAAATTATTCAAAATACATTAAGCATTTATTATATGCTTGGCATTCTCCTAAGATCTTTAGTAAGATGTAAGTGATTACATGTTTCTATTATTCCATTTTAAAATGAAAAGATTAGACATTTCCTGAGTAAATAGCTTGCCCAAAGTCAAATAAGCAAGAAGTGTCAGAGCTAGGTTTTAAAACTCAGGTTTATAATCTTAATTATTACACTATGTTTTGCTCCAACTTATTAGTATTCTACTAGACTAATCAGTGAGTTACAACTGATTTTTAATTTAATTCATATGAGAAGGGACTGAGCATGGTAATTTTTAAATGCTTCCCAAGTGTCTTATTGTATAGCCAGATATGTGAAACATAGGCCTCAATAAATGCAGTGTCCAACACTATTTAAGATCAGAGACCAACACAGAAGAGTTAGGTCTTCCAGAGACTGTTTCCTTATTAATACAGTCTAATGGGTAAGGTTATACTCTTTTTCTGTGTCATTCAATGGTCTAGTTTAATTTGTCTTCCTTTTGTAAAATCATCAAACCACTTTTCTTCCTACTCTCAGTGTATAGTTTCTCAGTTTGATTTGCAGGAATTTCTTCCACTTGTTTCTTAAATGTTGCTTTCCGAAAGGCAGATCTTTTTATTCCCTTTGTTACTTTCTCTGGAAAAGTGCCTGTAGGATAGTGAGGGATTCTAAGGTCTAAAAAAGAAAAGAAAAAAGAGTCCAGGCATGGTAGATCACACCTGTAGTCCCAGCACTTCGGGAGGCTGAGGTGGGAGGATCACCTGTGGTCAGAAGTTCAAGACCAACCTGGCTGATGAAGCCCCACCTCTACAAAAATATAAAAATTAGCTGAGCATGATAGTGAATGTCTGTAGTCCCAACTACTGGGGAGGCTGAGGCAGGAGAATCACTTGAACCCGGGATGTGGAGTCTGCAGTGAGCCGAGATCAAGCCACTGCACTCCAGCCTGGATCACAGAGCAAGACTCTGTCTCAAAAAAAAACAGAGACTTGGACAGAGAGTAAGTATACAAGTACAGAAAGGTAGTGAGAAACCAGTACGTGTTCAGCCTGTGTGATTATATATAAATTTATAAGGTAAGGCTTCAATAATGAATTATGAATTTATTATCTCTCAAATATATGAAACATACACATGCAAAGAAGTTGTTTGTGTTCTCTAAGGCCATTTTTTAGAGTTTTGAATGATGAGGTCTGTTTCTATTCCCCATCTCAGTTCTCAAATTTTAAGAAAAGGGTAGGCTTCACCACGTATATAAGGAATTTGCTCAGATACAATTTGGAATTGTCAGAAACTTGTGTCTGCATCTTCAACTTTAGTTTGATCCCAGAGCTTTTATTTTTAAGTGCTTAAGTGAATAACTTTTACATAGATTAAAAACATAGTGAAGGCAAATACTTTATTGTCATCTGATAAATGAGGAAAATCAGGAGTCAGTGTAGCTGACCTGGGATGGGGGCAAAATTCGCTAATCTTCCAGTTTCATCATGCACTTAAAACAGCCCATAAAAGCTTTAACAATTTCAATAAACATTTACATGTGAAACTTACGTACTTACAGACTAAAGGATTTCATTTAGTAAGTGGCTTTTGATATCTCTTCTGTGAAGATGATTTTGTTAAATTTTGGGGGAAATAAAAAAGTAATATGACTCCTGAACTAAAAAAAAGATTTTAGCCTTCTGAAGAGATAAGACGTGCACACATTAGAATATATATACAAATATTATATATATTTCTTTTATGTATAACTGTATATATAGCTCCAGTTATTTTTATACTTGATATATATATATTTAGTTTATTTCTCTCTCTCTCTCTCTCTCTCTCTCTCTCTCTCTCTCTATATATATATATATATATATATATATATGTTCAGTAATTTTTATATAGATAAAAACAGTGAAGGCAAATACTTCATGTAAATCTATAACATATATATTCATTTTAGATATGCTACATACATAGTAATATATAGATATTTATAGAAATGTATACTCAGAAATGAAGACTCAGAAATGTATGTATGTATACACACACACACACACACATACACACACACCCAGTAGCAGGTAGCATGGTCTTCTTTTCAATAGATGTAGAGATGTTGGGTGCGTATCTTCACATACAAGATTGGAGACGGCTCTGGCTCAAATAATATGAGAAAGTTTTATTGATGTTGATCATAGGGGCTGAATTACAAAGGAATGGACACATATGAGACAGAAAACCACTCCTTTGTCAAATGATATTCATAATCCCTTTTGAGTTACAGACCTCCAAGTTTAATATGTAACAGACAGAAGGGTCATACAAGTTTTTAAGATTTGTGGAACTTTTTATCTTGGCAAGGCTTTTAGCTTCAAAACTCTCAGCATCTTAAGACGTTCCTACCTGCATCATTGACATCACAACAAATGCAAAAAATGTACAGATCCCACAAATCAACTAAAACAGTGGTTCCTAGCCTTTCTTGATCACAGAAATCATTTGGGGTGCAGACTACTGAGGTTACCCTTGACCTGTAGTATTTGAAGTCTATTATTGCATAGCAATATTACCACAAATTAGCAGGTTAAAACTGCACATAGTTGTTACCTTATGGTTTTTGTGGGTCTGGAATCTGAGTACAGCTGAGCTTTGGGTTCTCTTACAAGGCTGCAAATTGAGATGTTCACTTGGCTGAGGTCTCATCTTTGGTTTCACGGGGAAATAGTTGCTTCTAAACTTATATGATTATTGTCATGATTCCATTTCTAACTGGTTGTTGGCCAGAAACCACCTCAGTTTCTGTCACAGAGTATTCTCCATTTGGCAGATGTCTTCATCAAAGGCTAGAGAAGAGAGTCTGGTATCTGCTAGTAAGACAGATGTCGTGATCTTATGTAACAAAATTGTAGAAGTGATATTCCATTGCATTTTCTGTCTTTTATTGGTTAGAAGCAAGACTTAGGACCCATCTACATTCAGAAAGGAATACACAAGGGGATGACATTATTAGAGTGTGAGGATAATTGGTGGCCATCAAAGATTGTTCACCACATGTATTAAATCAACATATCCTGTCTTTGGGTCTGTATTTTATGATCTGTACCTACTCTTCGGGTAATTATTATGATTATGCATATTTGGGAAATGCCAAACCTAGCAGAAAGATGGAGGTCAATACAAATAGATATAAGTTTTCAGCATTGGTCAAAATTTAAGAGAAATGGGCTTCCAGATGTTGGAGATTGTAACATTGCTTAATCCTACATAATAAGAAGGATAAAATATCCAGCAATGCATCCCCCAAGCCCAGGCATAATTCTAAAAGGCACTATGGGATTAAGTGATGAATGACACAAAATTGTAAATGTGTTTTTACTCTATTGAAGTGTATTACAATGTTTATGGAGAAGAAAGATTGTGATTGAGGAAGGTTTCATAGGCCAGATATAGCTTAAAGTAGACCTTAATAGATGAGTAGGATTTGGATGGAGTGAGGAATGGTGGAATGGTGTGGGGATAATCGGGAAGGAAAAATAATCGTGGTAATGAGAACAGTCTTCTTGTAGCGAGGTTTTGTGCTGAGATGTACATAGTGTGCATGGCTATTTTCTGAGTCTGAGAACCCTCTGATATAACCCATAACCATTGCAAAGACCTGTGAGTGAAGGTCCTCAGTCCAGCTGGGGCAAGAGGAACTCAAAAGGAAAGAATAGATAAAGAAAGACATTTGTTCTTAAAATGACTTACAAAGAATGTATTTGATGCATAAATAGAATGAGAGACACTTAGAGCCTTAGGTATATAGATAACATTGCAGAATTGGGGCAGAGATAGAGATCAACATTTGTTTATCAGTGATACCTAAGATGAGTGCCTTTGCAGTTTCATCTGATGATATAATATAAAAGTTGCTAATTAATGTTTTTAAAAAAGAGCTAGGTCACAAGTTGGTTAAGTATAATTTGAGAATATAAATATGTGACAGGAATCCTTGGGTTTGTTTGGTTGCATATTAGACTATCATGACTGAGTATACAACTAGCATTCAAGTAACATATCCCCAACATAAAAAATAAATAGTACTTTCTCAACATAGGGTATTGATATCTGAGGTAATAACTAGATCATGTACAGTTATCCAGCAGTACTTCTTTGTTTGACAAGCTAGACTGCACTGAGAGAAGTAGTATGCTGGTAAAGAACTCCATATATAGTACAGTAGTAGAAAATATCATCCAGACCTTTTACCAGTCAGCTTGGGTCACCTTCATCATCTGTGAAAGGAAAGGAACGTGGTCCCTGGCAAACTCACTAAGTCATTACTGTGATCAAATATGTTCATTTATTTATATAACACTTTAAACATACATGGCATTTTATACCTTCCAATACATTTTTATTATTTAAGCACAAGCCAAATTAAATATTGTTTATTTTCATCATTGGACTACACAGAAAATTATACAGACTTGTTTTCTCTGTTTTACATTTTCCATCATGCTTTCATATTAGAGCAAACTAATAATCAGGATTTATAGGCAGCAGAAAGCACACATTTTAAAATTTTTATTTCTAATAGTTTATTCTATTTTCTGATTCTGTACACCACAGCAATTATTATCTAATCCTTGCATTATGAAAAAAGACTTTACTTCCAAAACTGAATAGTTTATAGATTGTGGACATTTCATAATTATTGTGAATTACATTTGGGAAATATGAGTGTTTGGAAGCAGAACTGCAACGTGTAGTACACCAAATTATGTCACATTTGTCTGTTTATGCAGCTTACATCTTATTTTATACCTTGGACAAGAACATCCCAATTGATGACTGGATTATGGAAACAATCAGTGGTGATCGGCTTACTCATCAAATCATGGATCTCAACCTTGACACGATGTATTACTTTCGAATTCAAGCACGAAATTCGAAAGGAGTAGGGCCACTCTCTGATCCTATCCTCTTCAGGACTCTGAAAGGTTTGAATCATTTCCTATTATACTTTTCTTTTCCTGTGGAATTGTTTTGTAAAATAGCTTTGCAGTCTGTATTAGAAACTGCCCTGCACCATCTCTATTGGCAAAACGGCCAGTGAACATTCAAAATAAATTAAAATGTAGCTTTTTGTGCTCAAAGCAAATATGTCAAAGAAAGATCTATTGTGTTATCACATTTTCTGCCATCAGCACATAGCAAACATATTTAACCTGACTTTTTTCATTTACAGTCCTTCTAGAAGTTTGTATTGATGTCATGTATGTTGGTTCTATTCAAAATATAATGAAACGCTTCAGCCATTTTATGTGAAGGTGGTAAAAATGAGAATGTATCGAATTATGTGAATGGCATACTATTGCCAATTTTAAGTATTTTCTTTCAGGTACCATTATCCCTTGCATAGTAATTATCCCTTATATAGTAAAGAAAATTTTGATATGGCAAGAAAGTTCCAAACCAAAAAAATATATATTTATTGGAAAAAGCCAATATGTTATATTAGTATTTAAATAGTATAAACTATTTAAAAATTTTGCAATATGATTTCTAGAAGAAAAATGTTCATACAGAAAATCACTAAGGCTAATAGTGATTACATCAAAATATTTTCGTATAAGCACTTACTATTCTAGAGCACAGTATTATTCTGGGAGACAAATGGTTTCAAGAGTCATTTAAAAGTTGAAAAGAATTTGAAACATTCAAATAATTGAAATAATTTGAATTTGAAGTTGTATATTTAAGGCATGATATGTGTTGTCCTATAGAAGGATAACTTAGCTCTTCAACCTGTGACCACGTTATGCTTCGACATCTGGCAGAAAACTTAATGCATGATGGTAAACAACTGAAAAATTAGAAATGCATGGATGACTGCTATTTTTATGCAGTTGTTTGACATACTAAAAGAAGAGTCTTAGAATAACTGTATGGCCTATTCCTCAATTCTTCTAAGAAAGGTACCCTAGTAAATAAGGGACTTTTGAATTCTGATGAGTGAGCTATTTAAAAGCCTGGTTTTGGTAGCAGCTAATCTGAAAGTTTGCCAGCAACACACAAGCAAGCATTCAGCCAAAGCTTGCACGACAGTTCCTAATGACAGAGCAGAAGTAGGGAGGGAGGGAGGATAGAAATGAGCTAATCTTTGTCTATCCACATTTTGAGGATCTCATGTCTAAATCAGGTTTCACTCCAAATGAGCAATCAAAAGGCAACTGGTTATTCATTTTGTGGCAGCATGAACTGTAGCCAGATAGCATTTTGCAAATGCTTCATTTTTATCTATAGATGAGTGCCAAATTACTTTCATACCCATAATGTTTGCCAGCTGAGAGATCTGAGGAAAGGTTGAGGATGACTTAAGGCATCCAAATGTGTTAAGCATCAGAGTGATGAGTTATCGTTAAGATTTGCAGGCCCGCATTGATGGCCATCCTAGGGATTGTTTTATGAGCTCAGTGTTTCATTGGGTACTGTTTACTGTAAGTGACCTAAACGCATCTAGAAAATTATTTTCAGAAGTAAGAACAAGTTTAGGAATTTGTTCTATGACATAATAGTTCACAAGAGTTATTTCTAATACCTTGATTTGATGTTTAATATTTTCTACTTTAAATGTCATGCTTGATAATAAAATTACTCAGAAATATTGATCCTGTTCACTTTTATCAATGATTTTGTACATGCATGCATCTTACAAGACACAATGACAAATGTTGTAAAACAAATAAATTACTCATCATAGGATATTTAAAGCTACATTATAAGCAATTTAAAGATTTGGTATAGAGCCAAATCTACACCAAAGATAAAATCATGCTATTGCTCTCTGATTTAAGATTTTCAGTTCCAAAACGTGTACCAAAGAATACTCTGTTCATCAGAATGTATCTTTGTTTGACGGAGAGAAAGGCTTAGGTGTCCTGAAGATGCAAAAACTCCCAGTAGCCTCCTGGGTAATGGGCAAGAGTTTCATAGTAACGCTTGCCCCAGGTAGGTGTTCACAAACTTCATTCTTTCATATTTAGCCTTTGCAAGCATAGCAGCATTTTCTTCTAGAGGCCAGCATTTAGTCTTTTTGGTATTAACAACCAGTCAGAGAAGTACAGAAAGCTCAGTCAATATTCACTGTTTAATTAAAAGGACATTTGTCATTAGAAAGGGATTGTCTTACTATAAACTTATGTAGGTACACATATATGATGTATCTAATTCTTTCTTTGGAATGTTAATTTAAAAAATCTTGACCTTGATTACTTGACCACATAGGACTCTGCAAATATCCACCTTCTTTCCACATATCCTCCCCAGGGTCCCATTGGGATACCTACATACTGTCAAACCATTGGAAGACTTATGTCTATCTCTGCCCTATCCTGTGGGTTTTTCCTGCTAATAAAGTACACTTCTGCATGCTGGCCTATCAGGTAATTGAGAGGAAGGATGCTCCCAATGGAGTAGACAACAGACGATTCTGGCAGAGGGAGGGAGTCACTTCTTACACACACAAGAGTGGTATTCAGAGTGAAAGCTCAATAGAGTACAATAAATTATCTGGGCATCCTTAGTCATCATTCTGAATTGTGCCTTTCCCCTACCCAAGAATATAGCACTGGAAGCTTTGGACCAGAATAGAAAAAAGGTCTAGTTGTCATATTATTTTGTAACAAAAATACATGATTTTTCTTTACAAATGATAGAAACATATGATAGAAAAAATCAAGGCACAAATTTAAGCCATTTTTGTTGTCTATAATAAAAGGTAGTTACAAGAATCCATATGGTACCTGTTGGAAAATACTCTTCAGTAGGTAACATTTGAGACATTCAAAATTTCTTAAGTTATATTCAGTGCAGCTTTGCTAGCAGGAAAACATATTCAAAAGATAAGAATGAGAATGGGTTTGTCTATCATAACATATAGTTATTTTTCCTTTGCTAAAAATATCTTAGACTGCAGACAATGCATGTATATGATTAAAGATAAAAGGCAAAGAATGGAAATGAGATAAGGGTGTTATTTTTATCTTTTGTGACATAATTCTAAAGAGTTCTCACCTACATATGAGATGGTGATTAGAATAGTTTCTTGAGTGTGTCCAGTTCTGGCTGCCAAACCTACATACTTCCTGGATTGGGTGGCCACTTACGACCTTGACATATCCTGTCAAGGATCAGGTCATTCTTGCTGGAGACTTGATTTAGGACTTCCAACAATGTTGTATCCTTTCTCAACAGCTGTGTTAGGATCTCCATTCAAAATTTATGAGCTACACACAATGCAATTGCCTGTCAAAAGCACCTTTGTCAATACCATAATAAAATACTACAATATAATGTATTTGAGAAGCCATTAATTTTCAATGGGAAACAGAAGAGAAACTCTAGATAAAATTGAATTGCGGTGATGAAACTATGAAAAGTTAGATTAAATGACTGGTGAACCTTTAAAAAATGTTGCTTAAATCTTGACAAGGTACAAGGTTTCATAAAACTCATGTAAAGCTTTCGGAGAGCACCAAATTCTAACCACTAGCCAGAGTGCCAAGATAAATAAATTCTGCAGATCTGCTATATAGCATAGTTCCTATAACTAATATAACTGTATTATATAGTTAAAATTTAGTAAGAGGGTAGATCATGTACTGTGTTTTTACCACAATAAATAATAATGAAAAGGGTGGGAGGAAACTTTGGGAGGTTAGGGACATGTCTGTGGCTTTGAAGGTGGTGGTAGTTTCATAAATATATCCTAATTCTCAAATGCATTGAATTGTATACATTAAACATGGGCAGCTTTTTACTTCTAAGTTTTTAAAAATAACACCTATAGAATTATAAAATCATAAGCATTGGCTGGGCATGGTGGCTCACACTTGTAATCCCAGCACTTTGGGAGGCTGAGTAGGGCGGATCACGAGGTCGGGAGATGGAGACCATATTGGTTAGCACAGTGAAACCCCATCACTATTAAAAATACAAAAAAAAAATAGCCAGGTGTGGTGGCATGCACCTGTAGTCCCAGCTACTCTGGAGGCTGAGGCAGAAGAATTGCTTGAACTGTGGAGATGGAGGTTGCAGTGAGCTGAGATTGTACCACTGCTCCAGCCTGGGCAACAGAGTAAGACTTCATCTCAAAAAAAACAAAACAGGGCCGGGCGCGGTGGCTCACGCCTGTAATCCCAGCACTTTGGGAGGCCGAGGCGGGTGGATCACGAGGTCAAGAGATCGAGACCATCCTGGTCAACACGGTGAAACCCCGTCTCCACTAAAAATACAAAAAATTAGCTGGGCATGGTGGTGCGTGCCTGTAATCCCAGCTACTCAGGAGGCTGAGGCAGGAGAATTGCCTGAACCCAGGAGGCGGAGGTTGCGGTGAGCCGAGATCGCGCCATTGCACTCCAGCCTGGGTAACAAGAGCAAAACTCCGTCTCAAAAACAAACAAACAAACAAACAAACAAACAAACCCACAAGAATCCTTGTATATATACCATTTTCCAGAGAGTAATTCAGAATTCAAAGTCTACTACTTACTGAGGTATCTTTTCATAGAATATGTCGACATGTTATGTTTAAATGAAAAAAAATTGTAATTGATTTCTGGTTTAGAAATCTGTCTTATGATATAATAGACATAAACCCTGTTCATCTGAAAGGGGCTTTCATTAACAGAATTATTATTTATGTATTTTATTTCTAAACATCCTTATTAGAGAATGATTTGTGCTGCTTTATTTAGAAAAGGTAGAACCACCACCTGTAGGACATTTAAGGTATTTTTTCAAACAATGATGATTGATTCGCTGTAATAGGGGCACATCTTATGAGAGACTGTTATTGGTGGCTGCCTGTTTATCTTCTCTATTCAAGTTTTACCGAGACATATGCAGGAAGCATTCCGCAAGTGTGGTATGCCATCTAACAAGTTTGAATGGAATTAAGTGAGTTAAATATGCCCAAAAGACTCAAAGCTCAGAGTTCAAAGGCAGTTAAGTCTAGGTAAAATAATTCTATTAATAATTGATGGAGGGAAGCTTATGAATATCTGCACTGGTCAAAATGCCATATAATTTTCAGAAATGTGATAATACTAGAGATTTACTTCTTATTTTGTTTCATTTGGTTAGCAGACAAGAAGCCATCTTTAAAACAAAACAAAGGTTTTTAAACTTAAAAATTTTTAGATTTTTAAATTTTAAATTTCAAAAAGTAATTTTTGAGACTATTACTTTTAACTCATCGAAGTTGTGAACAACCCAAGAGCTATCTTCACAAGGCCTAAAGATTTATCAAGCTATTTAGATTATATTGTACCATATTTATGGTAGCCAATTATTTTATCCAATCTATGTGAAAATAGATGAAGTTGTTGAAAAAAAAATCACATACTAGAAAATAGCTTCCTGAACTTTCCTAAATGTATATGGGTGATAATTACTTGGTAATTGCATGCATTTTTTTACTGTTAATTCTAGTTTTAATTAAATTTATATAATTGTTCTGAGTTTATCTTTAGAAGGGCATGAAAGCTATGATAATTTTAGGATGAATTTGTACAGTAAAAGCATTATTTTCAGTTTTTTTCTCTGAATACTTATTTATCAGAAGTAAACTTGTAAGTTTGGGTCCTTATCAATTTTATTTCAATAGGGCACTAACCTTGAAATGAAAACTTGCTAAAAAATTGTTGGTTTGATATGTCACCTTTCTTGCTAGGAACTGTCAAAGTCTAATAATATTATTTCTTTTTCTCCCACAGTGGAACACCCTGACAAAATGGCTAATGACCAAGGTATGGTGACCCAATCTGTCATTTTGTGTTTTTTGAATCAATCCTGTCTGTTAGAAATGTCAGTCATTACTTTATATTCCTCTTTTCACCTGGCGCATACACCCGATGAAGCAGACACTGGTGTGATGATTAATCTTGTTAATGAGGTTTTGCTTGGCTGAGGCTGAGACTCTGATAAGGAAGATGTAAATTTTCTTGAGAGGAAATTGTTTTGTCTCTATTCTGAAGGACCAATTAAAATGTCAAGCTTCTTTGTATGAAATAAATTTTTAGTCTCTGTCTGCACTTCTGAATAATTCACATTAAGTATAATTAAGCTCAGCATAATTTTCAAGCTGCTCTTGTACCCTTTCATGAGCTATGGATTAAAGTTCTGTAGCTCTACAGAGAAAAACCATAAATTATGTGTGATTTTCCTCTGCAATGATCTTCCTTTAATATATAAAATCAAAGTTGGGTCAAGTTTTTGGGGGCATTATCATTGTTCATTTTGAAGCCAGAAAGCTGTTATTCAGTGAATCAGATGCTCATTTGACTCAATGTATAATATTTTCTCCCTTTTCCTTATTTACTAAAAGTTGATTTGTATAGAGAAACAGGTAAAGTTTTACACAAAGGCAAAATGGAGATAAATAAGAGTAATCCATCAACGTATAAGTAGATATGAATTTGCTATTACCATGATTTGTAGACCAATTGGTAAATTAGGATTCCATTATCTTTACACAAAGGACCATTAGTAGAATGCTGAGGGAAAAAATGAATAGTTGATGAGTTTTATTTCTTTGAGGATGTTATTTTCTTTCCAGAAGAGTTAGGAAATACTATAAACTGGTTGTAGTCAGTGCTGTTAGTATTTGTAGATTGAGAGTCTGTAGTTTATATAGTTTGTTTCCTTCCTGCTTTGGACACCTACTGTGGGCAGAACTTACTTGCAAACATCATGTCTCATAAGGCACCATCTCATGAGATTAGGGGAATGCATTCTTTCAACATGAATACTTTTTAACTTTTGACAAACACTAAGCCTCTGGATGCTGGCTCTCCTTAACAGCAGAAGGCTGCCAGCATGAGCAGCATTTTCTTCAATGGTCCTGTGTTTACATTCTTCTCTGGGGATGTATACCTTGCAACTGCTTAACAGAATGTGGCTAGGGGCTTACATGTGGAATAATAGAAATGGGACTGTACACAGCAATGCCTACTCAGGGCTAAGGTTTCTCTTAATCTAGCTGCTCCTGCTTGCTTCCACTGAAAATATTTTCATAAGATTAATGTCTATGAAATAATATTTGTAAAAAATATTAATGATAAGTAATTATCACTTGGCATGCATTTACATAGGTAAATTAAATATTAGTCTTAGTCAAATCCAAACCTGGAATAGTTAATAGAAACAGCTTTATTATTGCAGTTATAAAATAATAGAAACAACCTCTCATAACCTTCTCAAATAAATCTGAAGCTTCCACTCGTGACTCCTAATTTTTGAAATTATATTTAAAAATAATAGAGAAAAAAATTAAAATAACTGTTGAAATGTTACATTATTAGCCACTTAGCTGACAACATGTCCAAGCTTCTCAATAAATGGCTTTCCACTTCTCTCTGGATACTATTACATTGTTTTCTCTCTTTTTAATTGCTTTTTGTTTTTTAAGGTAACCGTTTTGCTTAATATTATTTTAAGCTACCAAACACATATTCTGTAATTTGATTATTTTATAAAAGGTAAATGAATAAATTATTTCCCAGTCCCTATTATCACACATCCTCCATGGATTTTGAGTCTCACATCTACAATTAAATCAGGTCAGTTCTCAGGAACAAAAGGATCCCCCAAGAATTACGGCCAGTGACTGAGTCTATTAATATATCGGGTCAGTTATCCTTTTTCTCTTAGGATTCTGTCACATATGTGACTTGGAGCCTTATTCAGTCACAGTTGGCATATAGTTAGTTGATCAAGTTGATGGGCTCCAAATTTTACATCAAACTGAATTCACTTGTAAAATTGAGAGGGACTGATGACATATAATTTAGTGGTTATTAATAATATCTTTAAATTCTTATAAAGAAAGCATGTTAAATTTACTGCACCTTTAAAGCACTTTTTTATAAACAAAATCAGTCTTCTGAGTTGATGACCATATGCATGAGACATAACCCAGCTTAAAGATCCCTCTAAGATTGATGAAAATAATAGGAAAAGACTGATCTTAATATTCCCATTCCCAGCACACAGCAAATTGGTTGAATATGTTTTACCATTCCCACTGTTAGACCTATTTGCCCCCTTCTGATGGAGAAATAATCCCAATATTACATTTATGACAGGAGCTGAATTTCTGCTTAGAGAAAATTCCCTCGGAGAAAAAATGTGGCACGTGGGGTCAGAATTAACCTTGCAAAGACGAATCCTAAATAAAGAAGCAGGAGGTTGAAGTTGACTTATATGAGAGAAAGGGAGACCAATTTTGATTGTTCTAAAAAAGTATTCAGATTCTTGTCACAATTATTATTTTAGGGACCAAAGATCTGCCATGAAGAATGTAACTGTGAAAACAAAAGTCATTTGAAATGGCTTTAATTTGGGGAAAATATTTTCTTGTGAGCAACAGTAATAGTTGTTTGACAACGATAGGCATTAACACAGAACTCCTAATTTCTTTATGTAATTGTAAATTGGTGAAATCTGGCATTTTTAAACTTTCTAATCTTGACTTTCTCTATAAGACTGGTTTGTGTCAGCCTCTCTCTTGCCCCATGTCCCAATTTTGTGGATTCTTCCGGGCACAGGTGGCCAATACATATGGAAGTAAAATAAATTTTAGAGATTAACCATGTAGTTTCATTTTTTGGAGGGTTGGGCAAGGAAATTGCACAGGCTATGTGAAGTGGTACAGAGGTTAGATTGAAAAGCTATGCTTAAAACAATTAAATTATTTTTAATTTTTGTGTGTACATAGTAGGTGGATATATATTGGTAGGGTGTGTGAGATGTTTTGATACAAGCATACAATGTGAAATAAGCACAGCATGGAGAATGGAGTATCCATCCCTTCAAGCATTTATATGTTGACTTATAAACAATTCAATTACACTCTTCATTTAAACATGTACAATTATTGACTATAGTTACCCTATTGTGGTATCAAATAGTAGATCTTATTCTGTCTATTTTTATACTCTTTAACCATTTTCACCTCCCCTCTCCCGAGCACCCCACTACCATTCCCAGCCCCTGGTAACCATCCTTTCACTCCGGATGTTTATGAATTCAATTGTTTTGATTTTGGTTTTGACTTTTGAATTTTTCCTTTTTTATTTTCTCTATTTTGATTAAAACTCCTTCCATTTGTCTGTGCTGATGTGAGCCTATGCAGTGGTAAAATGCACCCCTATGCAGCTCTTGCCAGCAGTCACTGTTTTAAGAGCTTTATAGGAATGACTCACTTAATTCTAGTAACAATACTGTGAGAAAGGAACTATTATCTCCATTTCAGCAAGGAAGAAACTCAAGCTCAGAGAGTTGTTGTCTATAGAAACACAGCTAGTAAGTAGAAAAGCCATGATTCCAACACCAGAAACCACATTTCAAAAGCCCTATTTTAACCATCAACCAATATGTTACACGTATATCGCCACACATTCAAATTTGGCATAAGGCTATAAAGTTGCTGTATCTGAAGTTTCATCTACTGTTATTTTCCCATTATAGATCTTCCTTTTTGTATCTCTGTGAATATTCTAAAGAACAAGGCAAATAACTCTCAATCTGGGGTCATCTTGTTAGTGGTGTCGCCACAGCAATGAATATATGATCCGCCACAGCAATGAATATATGACCCTAACACTTCTTTATTTCAGGGAACAGGGATGCTGATAATTCATTGCCTAGGCCAGCTTGGTTTGTCAATACAAAATGCTATATACTGGGTGGGTCAAACAACAGAAACTTATCTTGTCAGAGTTTTGGAGGCTGGAAGTCCCAGATCAAGGTTCAGCATGGTCGGTTTCGGGTGACGGCCCTCTTCCTGGCTTGCAGATGGCCTTCTCACTGTGTCTTCCCATGGTAGAGAGTGACCTCTCTGGTGTCTCCTCTTCAAAGGACACTAATCCTATTGGATTGGGGCCCTACCCTATGATTTCATTTAACATTATGATTTAATTACTTCCATAAAGCCCTATATCCAGATAGAATCATATAGGGGGTTAGAGATTCAATATACACATTTTTGGGGGAAGCAATTCAGTCCATATCATCCACATTTAAAAAGAAAGCTATCATTTCACTCTTTCACTAATTTTTCCCCAGTTTTTCAGATAAAAGAAGGTAAACATTTTGCCCAGGATTACATAAATAGTTGCTGACAGAGTTACAACTCAAAACTTTTCTTTCTGGTTCCTAGAGTGTGCAGTCTTTCTACTGTACATGGTTACTATATTTTAAAAATTTGATTTTCATTCTTCTAAAATCAGCTCAGACCTTTTAGAGTGTCTCACAGAAGCATTTTAGAAAATCTTCTTGTTTTGAGTTTGCAATGGAGGTTAGCTGTAAATCTGAAACATGACTGCTTCTTAAAAGTGATTATTAAATCAAACTTTTAAACTCGAGGGATTGTATTTTTTTTGCAGTGTTATGTGCCATTCAATGCCCAAATATTGTTCTGCACCATGAGATGTCTTTGTATGAAAAGCAGCATTCTTAGCATCAGCAGAAATGTTTACTCTTTCATGTGTATTTCTGTCTGCCCATTGAGACAATAGAATAGGTGCTATGGCAATGATATGGTACCGTAAAGTGGGCAGGATTCTTGTCAAGTGATCTTCATCATTGCTGAGATGAATTACAAAGAAAATGCTCACTCACTTTGAGCAATCTCAAGTGTCTTTAATTCTCCATGACCTGGCAAAAGGGTGATCTGAAATACTAGGCCTACAGAGGAGGCCTACCTTCATAGGACAGTTTACAGATCCAGATAAAAAAAAAGTGTGCT